CTGTCTAAAGTGTTTATAATGTATATAATGAGTTTTTGTAGGGGTTATTATAACACAATTCTTTAACACGTTGCATCGCGCTGTGTAAACATAAAACCATGTCTGCAGTTGTGATCAGAGAAATTACAAACAAGCGCTACTCTACACTGCTCAAAACTTGCGTTTAAATCATCAGTGGCAAATCCTTTAAATATGAAAACGTACTTACAGTCCGGCGCGGCCGGCGGATTCGATGAAGGAGCGGCCAGTGGGCTTGCGGCAACCAGTTGTGTATAAAGTACCTGAAAGCCATACTCAAGTAAAAGTACAGATATCTTACCAGAAAATGACTTTGGTAGAAGTTGAAGTCACCGTTTAGAATATTACTTGAGTAAAAGTCTTAAAGTATGTGATATTTATTGTACTTAAGTACGAAAAGTATTTTTTTTTATCTCAAGCGTACTGAAGTATTGAAAGTAAAAGTACAAGTAAATGCAAAATGGAAAAGAAGCAAATAAATATATATAAAAAATGTTTCTGCATTTGAAATAGCATTTAGATGTATTTACACAGTTTATGTATCTCAAAGGGGACATGGATGCATTTAACCTGCAGTTACAGATGGATAAATAATGTTTTGTTTTTAACATAAAATGTTGAATATTGATATTTGAAATAATTTAAAACGTGAACAAAATAGTCGAAATTTGAAATTAAAACCGCCAGTAGGTGGCAGCAAGTGACTGTTAATGAGTGAGTCATTGCGATTCAACCGACTAAATCATTCAGGAACAGAGCATTTGACTGTGTTAATGAGTGAATCACTGAATATTTTTTATCAACCGATTTGTTCAAAAAGCTGATTCATTCAATAAGTAAACACCGTCCATTGCTCAGAGACGCAAAACAGTGCTGCGATCTTTGAAACTATTTTCTTTGGCAAAATTGAGCAAAAACAAACAATATTATGTCTAAAATGTAAGTCACTTATTGCTTTACTGAACTTGTACTGAAACCATCTCGGCGTAGTGCTACGTCTGACACTAAATCTTACGCCTAGGTAGGTGTAAAGTGAAAAGTTATGATTTGTTCGGACATTATTCGTTTTTAGGATTCATGTCTGTTAGGCTAGTTAATTATTACTGCAGACGTGACCTGTAATGTTTATGGTCTTTTCGGGCAGGATAAGCGATATCAATCGCGAAGCTCTGTGAAGTGTGCTTGAAAATATTTCACGTCTTTAATTAAATTAATGATTTGTAGCGTGCCTGCCATCCAATCATCGCAATAAGTTTTGCTCTTTATTACTTTTAATCAGAAATAAATGACCAGCTTTCAAATTCTGTGAATTTTATCACAAAATACAAACCATAAACGTGTTTTTTCAGCCACAGAAAGACAGCAAAACACAAAATGTCACGTAAAGTCACAATTACCTCAGGAAAGACATTCATTGTAGCATTACATTTATTATATTTTACTTAACCTTGATGAAATCTGTCATGGGAGTGTGCAGGGAGACTTCAGATATAAAAACGCGGACTTGTTAGGAACGCGGACTTAAATGAAATCATAGCGCGGTGATTTCACTTATATTATGTCTTGAGCAATTCAGTTCTATATTCTATATTGTAGCCATTGTGGCGTGAACGTCGTCTCAGCTATATCTATAACTGAGGGAGAATGTGTCGGCATGGACGCGCATTGTCTACGCCGGGCGTAGTTGCGCCTGATCGTAGTTTCAGTTGGTGCAACAGGTGTAAATATTTATCGTAAAGCAGGACGTTGCAAAGCCCAGCGTAGGGCTTACACCCAGCGTTTTTACGTCTAGCTGGTGCAACCGGCCCCAGAACACTCAACACCTCTCACATGACAGCCATAAGCTCACATCCCGACACTTTCTTCTCAGAATTTTGAATTTACATTTTGCAATGTATGTTTTTTGCCACTGAATGAAAAAAAGGTCATTTTCACGTTATTAGCATGATTATCGTGTTGTTAACATCTTTTAACATGTTTTTAACATGTTTTACCACGTTGATAGAATGTTTAAGCATGTCGTTACCATGATTTAGCCTGTTGTAAGCATTTTAGCACATGGCTAGCAAGAATTAGCATGTTGCTAGTATTTTTCTAGCATTTGTAGCATGTTGCTAGCTATCTCACAATTGTGACTTTTGTCCATACAAATTTGCAAGGTTTTATTTTGTAGTTGCAAGTTATAAATTCATAATAGCAATTTGAACTTTTTTCTTTGTACTGTTCTCTCAGAATTGCAAGTTGTATATCTTGCGATTTTTGACACTTTTCTCCCAGATTTATTTTTTTTTTTTTTTAATTTGCGTTTTGCAATTGTGTTTTTTTCCCCCACCATGAAAAAATAAGGTAATTGCAACTTTTTATCTCACAATTCTGAGTTATTTTTCTCACAATTGGTGTTTATATTTCATAGTCTTCACATTATTTTCTCAGAATTGCAAGTTTGTATCTCGCAATTTCAAGTTAGCAACTCGTAATTCTTTAAAATTGCAAGTTTAAATCTCGCAGTTCTGTTTTTTGTTTCCTGCCATGGAATAAAAAAAAAAATATATATATATACTGTATATAAAAGGTAATTGTGACTTTTTAATTCACAATTCTGAGTTTATATATCACTATTCAGACTTTTCCTCTCAGAATTGCGAGTTTATATCTCCGAATTCTGAGTTTACATCTTTTGACTTTTTTTCTTGCAATTATGTTTTCTTTTTTCCTGCCATGGTGTAAAAAATTTTTTTAAAGCTATTTGCGACTTATCTCACAATTCCGATTTTTATATTTCACAATTCGGATTTTCTCTCACAATTGCGAGATAAAAAGTTGCAATTACCCTTTTTTACTTTTTTATTCCTAGCTTCCATAATAACCCGCTTGCGTTAAGCGTGCACCGGTGGCCTGACGCTCTGTGTGTTTTCTCCGCAGCGGATGAGGACGAGGACGAGGACTTCCGCGCGCCGCTCTATAAGAATGTGGAGGTGCGTGGCGTGCAGGTGCGCATGAAGTGGTGCGCATCGTGTCACTTCTAGCATCTGCGATCACTGCGTGGAGGTGAGACGAGCGCCATGACATCAGCTGCTAAACCATGAATAAAAATAAGATATATTAGGGCTATCAACATTAACGCGTTAATTGTGCATTTATTTATTTATTTTCCGTTTAACGAAGAGCTGCACGATTAATCGTTAAAAGATCGTGATCTCGATTCAAACACCCACGCGATCCCATGACAGCGATTCGCTTGTGTCTATTAAACCTTTGAATAAGTCTTACAGGAACATTTAGATCTGTGTTCGCGCTGCCGCTGACAGAGAGAGCAGTTAGCATGTTTAGGTAAGAAACCGCTTCACAAACTGTGTAGTCTTTTCAACTACACAGCATTATTTCTTCACTTATATTATGTCTTGAGCAATTCAGTTCTATATTAGTAACGTTAGTTGTATCCATTGCGGCGTGAACGTCGTCTCAGCTATATCTATCCACCTTTTTCTTGTCGTAAAAATGGGCGCGGCCATTTGTAAATTCTATGGGTCTGGCTTCCGGTCTCATCTGCGTCCACTCCATCCAGCTATTTTTAGCTGAACAAAACAGTTAGTTTTGCTGCTTTATATTGAAAGTTGGTGCGTCTTATCATATTAATTTAATGTATTATCTTAATTATGAACACACTGGTTTGTAGTGCAAACAGTTTTACC